AGTCCTGGTTTTTGTCCCGGTTTATCCCAAAATGTGTAAACAGGAAAATACCGCTGTGTAATCCATTTATTTTAACTATAATCCAATTACCACTCACTGAAACAGTAACTGTAACTGAATACAGTTACTCATAAATTGTACTCTGATTACGTAACGCTACATGTAATCTGTTACTCCCCAACTCTGGTTACACCCCTACATACAGTACACAAACAAATGTCCCAGCAAATGTAGAGAATCTGCAGAGATACTATTAGTGAACAGAGAAGGATCTGCAATCACCTCTGTCCAATTCTGGATGCACCAGTTGGTCTCGCGAATCAGGCGGATATGGACGAGACCTGGAGAACCAGTCGATGATGGGACGACTTTGTGGAAGGAGGAGCTGATGAAAATACGTGGCGTGAAAACTTCCGTATGTCCAAAGATGCCCTTGTTGCTTTAAGTTAGGGGTGTGCATTGCCTTGAGTCTGACAATACGATACATATCATGATTCTCATGTCACGATTCAATATATCCCGATACTAAATCAATGGATGATATATTGCAATTTATCAATAATTACTTCTAATAATAGAGTCAACTACACTTTCAAAGAAGAACACAATTGTATGAAATATAATGTATATATTATTATTTTTTTAAATCATGAGAACAGTGAATGTAACTAATGAATTTTTGTGAAAAATATTATTTAAAAAATCGAGTCGGATGCATTTTGAATCGATTCGAGAATTGTGCCAATGAAGTATCACGAATATATCACTGAATCAATTTTTTACAAACATACACAGTCCAATTCCACACACTTTGCATCATCGTATGCACGCAGATTTCCTCCTGAAAACCCTCGTCTAAACGCAGAATAAAAAGTGAAGACGCAACACCACTTTTGTGTCTTCTGTTCAGACCATCCTCATGTAAACGTAGCCTTGTTGGTTCCTTGTTGTAAAGAGCTTTGAGTGCCTTGAAGGTGGAAAAGCAATATATTAAAACCATTTGACCATTTACCATTTAACTTCATGACATCACAAGGTGGAACAGAGCATTTTGAGCTTTTGAGATGTAGATAGACAGACAGAGATGTAGACAAACATGTGAGTGAAACATAACACAACTCCAGTTATGTTTTTGAGGAGGTAAGAGCATTAAACACGGCTTCACACTCACAAGAGTCCATTTTGTGTAATACGGGATCTTTAAGCTTTCAAAATGTGAAAAACAGATCAAATTTATTGGTAACTTTATAATAACTACACCTTACTTAGCCTTAATAAAGCATGAACAAAGACTTAATTAATAATGAACAAAGACTTAATTAATAATGAACAAAGATTTAATTAATAATGATTCATGCTTAGTAAATGCTTAATAAAGAATAATTCATCTTCACTCTCAAAAAGACTTAACTAACAGATAACAGCTGCCTGAATGATCATTGCATTGTATTATTAGTAAATTCATTCTCTCATGTCTTACTAATGATTAATAAATGCTCAAATGGTTAGTCCATGAGTAATTAAGTATGAAATAATTATGAGTAACTATTTACAGTACAGGCAAATCAAGTGCAAGTGCTAATTAAGGTAGTAATTAAGTAGTGTACTAAGTGTGAATCATTATTAAATAAGTCTTTGTTCATGCTTTATTAAGGCTAAATAAGGTGTAGTTAATATAAAGTGTTACCAATTTATTTTAAACTGTTTGCAGCAATCAAAAGTAAAGTAAGGCCAGTATACATTAACATGCTAACAGAGCACTTCCTCTTTCTCAGAGGGCAAATTTTTATTAGAATTACACACAGAGAGTACACAGCTGACTCATTTCTACTGGGAAAAGAGAAGTTATGGTCAATTAGGCTTACTGAGAAGAAAATCCATCAGGACTCCAGCCGCTTTAACTTTTGTTTTTCTTGGTTTGTTTTGATCAGGAGCTTATCCAGAGTCTCACAGTAATTTGCTGAAGCAGTCCTGAGTCAGCACCGTCGTATTTGCAAAGACGTTGAATTAGTAAAATGTTTGTTTTCATTGGACGTTTTAATAAGTCCTCCCCCGTCTCCACCTCTCCTGTCTCCCGTCCCATCCTCCTCTCCTGTATCCTGTCCGGTGTCCTGTGCCCCGCTCTGTCCTCTCAGCTGTTTCCTCTCTTTGCTTTTTCCTGTGGTCCGTTCAAAAATGTCCCGCGTCCACATCACTACTGCTGACCGCGCACAATCACACCAGCGAAGTTGAGTTTGGAAATGCACAAATGAAGGCAATGTACCATTTCTAACAGTTTGCAGTTTGGTCCAAAGTTATTCCGAATGCATTCTGAGCATCCGAATTATTCACCGCGATGAGTTTATAAGTGCATTTCACATTTTTCAGAGTCCAGAGCAGGGTTTTCTTGTCACGCCACTGCTAACAATAACAGCACACCAGCCTTACCTCCTGGTTCGTAGCACTTTGTATAATTACATCCATGGGTTGCGTGCGGAAACCAGCTTGACCACAGAATTAGGGTGAACAGATGTCCCCAGTTTTGAGCCTTTGTCCCCTGTACCGGCAGATTTATCCAAAAACTAGTGATTTGTCCAGTTTTATACAAGAAATGCCCCAGGTGTCTCTATTTTTGACAAATCTTATCCCAGCCAACAGTAAAAAGCAGCATAAATTATAATTTGTTTAAGTAAAATACAGAAAAGCTGCTTAAAATGACCAAAACACCAAGAAAATGTGACTATACTGACTCACATGTTCATCATGAATGGGCCGAGTGCAGAAAAGTTTTCCTTAATTATACATTTGATTCACAGTTTTATGATTACCAACCACCACAAACCAGGGAAGTCCCATTTTTTTGATCATGAAAATCTGGTCACCCTACACCACGGGTCTCCAACCTGTAGCTCGGGAGGTACCAGTAGCTCTCCACTCCCATACAAGCAGCTCACCAAAGGATTTCTGAATTGTACATATTGTACACAGAATAACTCAAATTTGATAAATTATCATTGTAAATGTGTTATTTTGAACTTTGTGCACTAATAAATGGATAATGGTTTAATGTGTAACAATATCCATGTCTCACGATACGATATCATCACGGTATGAACCTCAGTACGATATTTATTGTGATATCGTGGGAAAGCTCATGATATGGTGGGGAAGCTCACGATTAGGGATGTAACAATATCCAAATCTCTCTGTACGATATTCACACGATATACATCTTATTTAGTTGTCTAATGTGCTACTGTTTCCTCTTAAAAATGCCTTAACAAGATTTAATCTAAAGAACTAAGACTTAAAAGTGCTTAGAACTGTTATTTCTTCTTGTAGTCTGCACTGAAATGGAGCAAAGGATCATGGTCTATGTAGTTCCCTCTGTGTTTTAATTTAAGCAGAGACTTGTAATTCAATATATTGTGATGGTCCACGATATTATTGTGAGAACTTTGACGATACGATATCACGATATTTTGGTTATTGTTACATCTCTAGCATCTAACTGTATATCTAAGACTTGCCTCTTATATTGAATCAGTTTCTTGCAACCACTGAAAGGAGTAGCTCTCCTGCATTTTCATTTTGTAAAGGTAGCTCAGCTGGGGCAAAAAGGTTGGAGATCCCTGCCCTACACAGAATCCTGCGATAGTTTATAGGTGAAAAAACTATACAGGAGAAGTTTGGAGTTTTACCAGGCAAAATCAAACTGAGCATTTTTGAGTGCCTTTTGAGACTCTGGATTCATATTCAGTCATTTTATTTTCATGAATGCACATTGGACTCGCTCTTTTTAAAACATAAAAAGAAAAGGCTTTTATTAATGCACTTAAAAGTTCCTGTATTAACCAAAATTCACTCTTGTGAGTTTTAAGCCATGTTTCAATGCTGTTTCCTCCTCACAAACAGACCTGGAGTTGTGTTTTGTTTCATTCACATGTTTGTCGACATCTGTCTGTCTGTCTACATCTCCTCATGTTCTCCTCTCCATGCTCTGTTCCACCTCGTGATGTCATGAAACGATACTTTTCAAGGTATCAAGCCTGAAACTGAAACTATCCAAACTCCACTGAGTTTAAAACACACTGGAGCACTTTCTGTATTACCATATAACATCAAAAGGTGAACTCAGCCGAAATATGCAGGTTTGTGTGGTGAACATGTGTGAATAAAACAAAACACAAGTCCAGGTCTGTTTGTGATGAGGAAACTCCATTAGAACAGAGATCAGAAAATAGTGTAATATGATTTATCTTTAACATGAGCTAATAAATATATCACTGTGTTAAATGTAAGCCCTCTGTTTTTCCATTTTTATTTCACACTTTGCATAGCATTCTAACAGGCCTCTGCACACACTGAGATGTTTTACTGTCTGTTCTACATTTGCACATTTTGAATATCAGGGCACGATAAGTAGTCCAAAAGTGGTGTTAAGGATGCAAATGTAAAAAATATCAGAGTCAGGGTTATCTTTGGAATTGAAATAACCATCCACGTAACTTTTCCAGTCAGCTGCCACCTGCTCGTCTCCATGGAGATGGAATTGTCTCACATTATAGCATTAGATGAAAATATCTAACATTTATTTAATTATGTGTATTTTTATTGCTAAAGAAGTAGCCTGAAAAAACAAATCCTTACTGTGTGCGGGTTCGCATTAGTTTGCTAATCTACAAGAAGATAGATCCGTGCAGACAATCCTGAGTCAGTGCTAGTGCAGCCTGAAGGTTCTGAGCTTCACATGAGGCCTGTTCTGTCCATAAACTGAGAATGAGATACACTTGTATTTATGTGTCCTCTATCTTCAGGTGAAGGCTCTGGAGACACAGGTTTTGTTTTATGTTTGTCGTAGCTTTTTTAAAACACTAAGTCCTTAGGAGCAATGTTTTTATGTGTATCTGTCTGTAATTATTGTATGTAGACAACTTATTATGAAAGCCCACTGTAAACCAATGTTAACTGGGTATAAATGAAGTTACCTACCTTGTGTGTGTGTTTGTGTATTTCAGGGCGTACGCGGGCGGTGATGAGTGACTTTAGCAGCATCTATGAGAAGCAGTACTCTGTGGCCCTGTTCAACAGTGTGAGGGCCGAGATCGAAGGGACCGGAGGGACCCAGGCCCAACTACTGCACAGGAAGGCAAGTAAACATGACTGCATTCTATATTCACTGCATACAAAGGAAAAGAAACACTTTTTAACCATTTTGGCACTTGTATCAACTTGAAAATAAAAGTATTCCTTAAAGATGGCATACATAATCATCAAAGGCTACGTTCAGACTGCTGTCGGAAGTGACGGAAATCAATTTTTCTGAACCACACAGATCCAATTTTTTTCAAATGTGACCCAGACCACTTGGATATGTGCTCCTAAAACCATATACATATCCATATCTTTTGACATGTGACTTCAGTCTGAACGGTCAGGTCACATTCATCCACCTACACATCAGGCTCGAAGTCTAGTCAGTGGAGGGAAAGTGAGGTTAGCGAGTTAATAAATATTTCAGGCCAAATTGGAGGTCTTATCAGAACAGGGCGGTGTTTGAAATGATTGCCAAAGAAATGGCCGAGCTTGGTCCTGGCGTCAATATCAACAAGAGAGCCAAATACAAAGAGGCTGAACACTCAAACAAACCAAGCGGCCGTGGGTGTGTAACCTGTCCATTTTACCAAGAACTGAACTGCATTTTAGGAGACAAGCCCAGCGTTTAGGTGACTTCCGTAAACACTGAGCACACTCTCTGTACGTGACGTCACAGTGCATGTTTAAAGTTCACTGGAGATCACATAGAAGTCACATTTAATTGGAAATGTAAATGACCTCGCAAAAAAATCGGTTTCACAAAAAATTAGAATTGAGCGTTAAGCCCTGCAGTCTGAACGTAGCCAAAGTGTCAAGAAATAAAGCCTTAAAAGCTTGCTGCTCTGTGTCATGAGTAGGGCTGGTATCATTAAGAAGCTGCAGATATGATATGTATGTTGATAATGTACGCAGGCCATGATATGATACGCATCTTGATACAGCGATCTTTTGATTTGATATGATTCAATACCATATATATTTCAAATTGATTTGATATAGTTAAATAAAAAATAAAGGCTAAATCATGGCTGTGATACTAAAAATCTTTGTTAAACCACTTCTTGTGTAAACTTAATATGAATAAAACCCATTTTAATCAACAAAACAGTGAAAATGTCAAATGTGTTGCATAAACACATTTCCTTCCTCTGAACAAGCAACACAACTGAAGCACTTTAACAAGATAATTTTATAAATGTATACCAAAACATACTCGATATATATCGATACAGCAGCCCACGATATCCATACTGTATCATCCCATTAAACAATATGATCAATATTTCTGTATTTTTGCACACCTCTAGTCATTAGTCTATATAATATACAATTAATATTGAACTTTTTTTATGATTTTTTTTTTTTCAGTTAATCAATAATTGGTCACAATATAATCTAAAAGCTAAAATAATAACTGTAAGGCAAGGCAAGTTTATTTGTATAGCACAATTCGTACACAAAGTAATTCAAAGTGCTTTACAGAATAAGAAATACATTAAAATCATAATAAAAACAAATCAAAACATAAATAATCATGAAGATTAAAATTAAAAAAAGAGAGACATAAATTGGAGAGAAGAGTGTGGAATGAAAACCTTTCAGTTATGTGCACAGTCAAACAGAAATGTTTTGAGTCTGGATTTAAACAGCGTCACAGAAGAGTCTGTCTCACATGTTCAGACTGTTCCAGGTTTTAGCTGCATGAACCTGAAACTCTGACTCCCCTTGTTTAGTCGTGACTCTGGGCACCAGCAGGAGGTCGGTCCCTGAGCTCCTCAGAGTGTGAGATGTTCATATGACACTAACATGTCACAGATGGACTTTGGTGCTCGGCCATGGAGACACTTGTATAACTGTGACCTGATACTCAATACTGATTCCAATACCACAATGATCATGAAAAAACACTTTCTTTAGAGAACAGAATGTGATTTTCAGCATTAAATGGTAGTACTTTCTTTTTTATTCCCATGTGTTTTATATGTCTGTAATCCCTCAGTGGTGCAGTAGGTTTCATAGTGTCCATGGGTGTATACTAGTTTATGTGCTCTTATACTTGTTCTGGTACAGCTCAAGATCATTCTGAAGCTATTCAGGAATACTTTATTTCTGTATCGGTGAACTGAAAATCAGGGAGAACAATGTACAGTGATAGTGGACTCGTATCGGGTCTGTACGGCTCCATCCATTTTGGCTCCACTGATGGACGGTTTCCTCTTTGATAATGCACAAACAGGACGTCCTGGTTCAGTCTGGCTTTACTGTCCCTAAAGTGGGCCAGACTTCACACATGAACACATCTGAATATGGGCGCAGGCAGGAAGTACAGTGCATCACAAAGTATATGGTCTACTATGGATTTTTAGGATCAATATTAATGAACTGTGAACTGGAACAAAGTATTTAATCAGAATCCATCGTAAATGCATTAGTTTTCAATCCAATGGAATGTACTTCTACTACTACTGCTTTTACCACCACACTACTCCTTTTACTACTACTGTTATTACAACTTGTACTTTAACGAGTGGTCTGTACTATGACTACTAACTACTACTACTACATTACATCTACTACTATAGTGTCAAAGGAATTTAGAAATCAAAACTACATAATCAAATATTTAGGATGATTGGCAGGATGATTACAGGCAATAGGTGAAGTGCTTTGCCCAGGGACACAACAACAGTACAGGTACAATTGGTTGAAATTAATGTCATGTTTTGATACAGAAATATAACTTGTATTTTTGGGCTGCAGGACCCTCTGGCGGGGAAGACCATCTTCTCGGGGAGCCTGCTGCAGTATCTGGAGGAGAACAGGAAGTGGAGGACCAGATATGTGTCCATCCCCAAACTCCTACACCATCGACTTCTATGAGAGCAAAACAGTATGACCTACACAAGAACTACTGACGCATACTAACACCATGTATCTACGGCCAAGTTCAGACTGCAGCCTCAAGTGACACAAATCAGATTTTTTCATCCTAATGTGACCTGTATCTGATCTTTTAATGACAGTCTGAATGACACAGATCTGTTTTTTTCAAATGTGACCCAGGACACTTAGATATGTGCTCCTAATACCGATACATATCTAATCTTTTGACGTGCTACTTCAGTCTGAACGGTCAGGTCACATTCATCCCACCTACACACTCACAAATGTACACAAACGTTCTCCTCGTCATACCAAAATTATGTCTGAACTCCGTGTCAGTGAAGTGGCGAAGCACATCACAGTCCCACCACTCTTGGCTGCGACTCTGCACCCACATGTTCCTTTTTATGGACGTTGCTACCACTGCCCCACAAAACGCCATGGCCAAAAACCTCGTCCTTCTTCTTCTCAATCTTCTCCATAAAGCATGACAGCAACTTTGAAATCTCCAGGTGCTCAGTGCTCGCGTCCATGTTTAGGCTACTTCCAGTCCAATCCATTTTATTTCTATAGCACATTTCCAGGATAGCTGCGGGGTCTTAAAAGTCTTAAAAAAGGTCTTACATTTCATGTTCCTGAATTAAGGCCTTAAAACGTCTTAAATTATGTTGTCCAAGTCTTATTTTTTTCCATAACCTCTTAGGGCTTAGTGTCCACATACGTGGACAGCACTTTTTACCTCTTATGTCCACAGTCATGTTCAGTGATGAACTGGGGGTGTTATAGACACATGTGTGGGCAGTGACTCTGCCATCCAGTAGTGTCAGAAGAGCCTAACTTACTATTGTCCAAATTCAATATAGCGGCGAACACATGGTAATATTCAAGTGGCACCTCCATACACAAACATCGATCAGGTTAGAGATGCTCTCATATTTTATGGCTTATTCTGATTTAGATATTTATGAAAGTGTTGTACATCTGTCATGACATGCAAATTTGAACAAAATATTGTAAAAATATCAACTTAGTATGTGAGGTAACATGATGTACACATATGTGTACTTAGGGACTGAAGCTCCTTGAAAACACTAAAATCCTAATCCACATTCACATTTGTACAATAAGAAAAAAGCTATCTCTGTTGCAACTAAAAATCTGTACATTGTCCCAGTGAAATAAATAACAATCAAATCACTAAATACATACATATATACATAGATTAGTTGGCTTGAAAATGTTGAAAATCTAATACGGTAGTAAAAAATGTTAGTTCACTTACTTACTAATTTACAGCTAACTCTGATGCAGCTAAAACACTGTACACTGTACCACTGATATAAATAATGCATAACTACATACATAAATGACATTTCATCTGGTTAGGGTTACGGTTATGTTTTTCTGTACAAAGAGCATTAGAGCTACTTGGGTTACTTGATGGAGAGAACTTGGATTTGGACTTATCTGACAATGATGATCATATCATGGATGAAAATTACCAAAAACCATCACAGGAGCAAAGCAGCAGTGAAGATGAGGACCCCAATCCTGAGCCCACTCAGCACAGCAGACCTAAACGTTTGTGTGTTGCAGATAATGGTTAGCCAAGACCCAGTATATATTTAGATTTGATGTAGTTAGGGCCTCAGGGCTACATGAAGAACTGGTAGCAAATGCAAATTAACAACACTCGTTGACAGGTTCATGGTCAGGGACAGAAACAGGGGCAGAGACAGCGACAGGTTCATCCCGCACATGCAAATATCACTGTCAAACTCAAAAGATTGACACTGATAGCTCAGAGGATTTGGGCGAGCCAACACCAGAACCAAGTCAAACCAAGAAAAAGGGAGTGTCCAAACAGGGTAATCGTTATTATTTTTCTTTTAGTATTATTTTATGTATTTATTATCATTAATTTAATTTAGTATTATTTACACAATACATATATTTTTTTATAACTAAATAAATAAATATAAATACATAAATAAATACATTCATAAGTAAATACATAAATAAATATAAAAATACATATATTTTATCCTAAATTTGGTTGTGCAGGATGTGGAATTTGCTGGAAGGCAACTCCATTGACCCCAAACATTGCAGAGTATCAGCATCAGGATGAAACTGATCTAGACAGACATGACGGGACCTAACGAGACTACGGTCAGAACTAGACAGAGATTTGATGGCAATGATTGCAGAATGCTCTAATGTCATGTATGTGTTTTTTAATACATTCAAAATCAGTCAGGAAAAAAAAAAAAAGAAAATAAAGAGTTTTTCTTTCCATTACTCAAAGGGGACTTTCTTGTGTTTTATGGAGATTCGGACCAAGAGTCCACATATGTGGACATCAGTTTTCTCCAAAAGTACACAATATAAAAATCTGATACTTAGTTTTTATTCTAAATAGGTTCTAATAATCCAAAATAGCAAAGAGAAATTAAAAATGCATGTAAAAAAAACCTCTTGGGCCTTAGGAGGATAAAGGTCTTAAATTTCATTAGCTTATATTTTTGTAAACTCAACCGGGCTGCAGTGCAATGTTTAAATGAAATGAGGAAAAAAAAACAACAACATGAAATCATGTAATGAGAATAAACTTCTAATTTGTATTCACAAACAATACTTTGGTTTCTGGTGCCAGCGGCAGTGAGTAAACAATCAATACAGTGGAAGAAGACACTGGATGGATCATGGGAAAGTGTAGGTTTAATCCACAGTGGCTCTTAGATTCTAGGTATAGTACCTGTAGTTGGTTGGTCATGATTAGAATTGGATCTGGAGTTTTTCGCCCACATATTGGGTGCAGTGTTGGTCTTAATTTTCATTTAAGTGGTCTTAAAAAGGTCTTTAAAAAATCTTAAATTTGGGGTAGTCAAACCTGATTTCACAAACTAACAGTTTCCAAACTGCTGCACAAAACATAATAATAACAACAATAATAAAATGATAAAATAAACTCTCACATTTAATCATACTAGTCTTAAAATAATAAAAGCAGTAAAATAAAATAAGAGCAAAACCATAGAATACCAATAAATAAATAAAGCCAATGAAATACATTAAAAATAAATAAAATAAATAAAAGACACAGGGGACCACACAACTCACACGTACTTCCACAAACACTGAGTACGCTCATTGTGTGTGACGTCGTCGTGTTCTCCAATGCTCACGTGGGACACTTTTGGGGCATTTAAAGTTCACACTGGAGTCACATACAAGACGCATTTAATTGGAAATGTGAACGACCTCGGAAAAAAGTCATATTTCACAAAAAAATCCGAATTGAGTGTTAAGCCCTGCAGTCTAAATGTGGCCTAATGTGTGTTTGTCTTGAGCAGGTCTGTGATCACGGACTGCAGCCCAAAGTCAGCATCAACTGTGCGGGCTACAAAGTGCTGACCTCACTGGAGGAATATCTGGAGCTCATGGACAAGAGTCTCCCAGGTAAAACAAAAAAAACAACATTCACAGACCCGATAAAATAACGAATCCCTATAATCACACATGCATCTTACAAATACCAGGCAAGATGAGTGAAGCGTCTTGCCCAAAAACAGCACAGTTTCAGTAGTGGGGATTGAACTCTCAAATTTGGGTTTAGTGGGTAAATTTGTCTGTTTTCTTTTGGAGATACAATCAAAACTGTGATCTGTACCAGCTGTTGTGTCTTTGGGCAAGATACCTCACACACTTGCATGTCCAGGGGTCCCACAGGGCTCTGTGATAGGACCCTAAATGTTCTCTTCTTGTGCGTTATATTCCAGGGGTGAAGGCCAAAGCCAGCAACTCTCCCTTCATAAAGACTGTGACCCAGTACACCCTGATCCTGTGGCACCCGTACGCCCGTCACCACTACTTCTGTGTACTCACCGACAAGGAGCACAGCAAGTGGAGCGCCGTGCTGCAGGACTGTGTGCGCCACGCCAACAACGGTAACGGTCATTTCATTTCAGATTTATATAAGACACAACACTAAATGTGAAAAACTGAACAGAATGGGATTTTCAGCATTAAATGGTAGCACTTTCTTTTCTTTTTCACATGTGGTCTTATATGTGTGTACATCCCGCAGTGGTTCAGTAGGGTCCATACTGTCCATGTGTGTATACTAGTCTATGTGCTCTTATAGTTGTTCTGATACAGCTCAAGATCATTCTAAAGCAGGGGTCGGGAACGTATCACTTGCGAGCCAGGTATGGCTCTTCTGATGATTGCATCTGGCTCGCAGATAAAACATAAAATATTCTCACTTGTTTTAGGCTGCGTTTACACATAGCCGGGTATTTTGAGAAATGAATATTTCCCTCCCTCCATTTTCCAAAATAATATCTTGCTCACAGCATCGTTTTCAAAAAAGTTTTCGTTTACATCAACCCGCATAAATCCTCCATCGAGCGCTGCCATAACTACACCGAGCCTCTGGGCGCAGCTGGATTAGATTCAAACCTGTAGCATTTATTTCATTACAGTACAAATACCTTGAAAAATGTGCATTAGTGAGCGGGCCGCTCAGAACAACATATAAGGAACCAAACGAGATTCACGCTTCTGTCCGGATCCTTTGCACCACCTCGGAACCAGCTGCGGTTCTTGAGCGCGGAGGACCAGAGCAGCCCGCCCGGACCCATAGTCCACAGCGCATTCTCGCTTTCCCCACATGGAACCAGCGCGCAGATGACGGCACTGAAGCACTCGGACCCAGTCCTTTGCGCGCTGGTCTTGCTCGCCCCCGTCTGGAACCAGGACATGGAGGATGGAACCTTTGGACCGATCTGACCAACACTGGACCCCCAGCTACATCCTGAGGGGCCGGGTGTTTAGCGCTGTTGTTCTAGGCTACATGCTGCTGTTTTATGAGTTCATGGCGATAACTTGAGATGAGGACGGCCCGCTGTGTTAACAGGGAACATAGATTCCCTTCACAATTGGAGGAACATTGGGAACAGCGGTCTGACCCTAGTCCGGGTCCGTATGAGATGGCGTCTGGACTATATCTATATATTTATCTTAACCTCACCAAGTACCAACCGGACTACAAAGCCACCAGCAAGTCCATGTAGCACCAGAAGTCGCATTAATGGTCAGTATTATAACAACATTATTTAAAAGAATAAATTCAGAGGCTTATTATACTCACATTTAGTTGAATTTAGTCTTAAAATATATTATATGGCTCTCACTGAAATAAATTACCAAATATTTTGCTTTCATGGCTCTTTGAGTCAGAAAGGTTCCCGACCCCTGTTCTGAAAGATATTCAGGAAAGCTTCATTTCTGTCCTCTGACTTTTTTAATATCAATACCTGCTCAAATGAGTTTCTAGTCTTGATACTAGTTTCCGTATTGAATTAGTATCTGATTTTTGATACTTTTGACTCTCCTATCAGGCAATGGAAGTGAAAGAAACTTGAAACATGGTGTCAGTAATCTTTGATAAGTTATAAATTGAAATTATACTTGGTATTCCTGGTTGAGCTACAGCAAGGGAGGTCTGTACCTTTATTTCATTTCAGCAACAGGCTTGGTGCAGTTAGATATTCATAACCTGGCTGTGGGCAGATTGATATGTGTGTGTGTATGTTGATGCTGTCTCCGACCCACTTGTGGCTGGACTCAGTTGCACCAGCGGGAGCCAAGATGGATTCTCATGAGTTTGTGAAGTTACAAATATCATGAGAATTCCTCTTTGTGGTGAAAACACTATTGTTATGATATTCAATCACTGATTAATCCATTGCAGTCAAAGTGAGAGAATGCTGATTATGTTCCACTGGGAGATGGACAGTGGACAGGATGATGCACAGATGGAGAGACTGAGGAAGCTGAAGGTTCTGCTGCAGCTGTAACAGGCTGAAGAGGAGGGAAAGGGACTACACAGTCTAAATAGCTTGAAAGGTGATTTACTGAGAGGAAATGGTAGCTAGCCCTGTTTTTATAACAGAAGCAAACTGTAATAGGAAGGAACAGAAGTGTTTTAGGTTGAACCTCCACCCATATTCATGAATACTTCTTAACTAGGCAATTTTTGTTTATGTAAAATTGCTATTATCACATAAGGCTAACAAATAGATTGCTTTAGTTACACAGTTAAATGAACGGCATGAGACTCTTCATATTTCAAATGCCCTTACACCATAAAATCCAATTTAGCATAAAGTATAAACACAGACCTTCCTTGTCTGCTGGAGAGCTCGTGTTGCCCTCTGGTAAACCTTTTATTTACCAGTCCAGTGTTACATCACTGGACTGGTAAATAAAAGCAGTGCCAGCTCAGAACATGCCTCTCATTCTCCGTCAGGCCTGAAAAAACAGCAAACCACGGTTACCATGACACAACGCATCAACAACATACTGGCCATTCCTTCACCACTGCTCACAAATCACATACCAGCACGTTCAGGTGCCATTAAAGACTGACTCATTATTAACCAAACACATCATAATCATATAATCTGTCTAGCAGAGTAATACTGGTAATGTGGTGGTGTTGCATCCTTGGATTTGAAAAAGAACTATCCTAAACTGATTTTAATTCTGAAATCCAATTGGTTTAAACCTAAAAGGTCTCTGTCTGATCAGAATGGTCTCTCCCTAAACCCCAGCACCTGCACCAATCCTGAGTCAGTGCTAGTGCAGCCTCTGCAGCTCAGGGAGGGAATTCTGGAGGTTCTGATGAGCCATGTTCTGTCCATAAAGTGAGAATGAGACAAACTTGGATATGTCTCTATCTGCAGTTTATGACTCTGACAACACAAGTTCAGTTGTGATTATACAGTAGTTCCCTTTTTAAAACAGAAACAGCTCAAGCTACTAACCGTACCTTTAAGCGGTATGTAATTTCCCAGGTGAGACACAGTGGCGCCCCCTTGTGCCTTCTCATTAGCACAGTTGAATATAATCTGAACAGTGCGTCACCTCAGAGGAACCTTGATTTCTGCAGCTCTTCAAAGTGAGGTCACATTCCAGAGGGCACAAACACACACACACACACACTCAAACACACACACTCACGCGCACGTAATTACAGCGTGACAGAGTTTAGTGCTGGTGCTTTCTCTTCAGACTTGCCTATAATCACATAATCACATGTGTCCTCTGTAATAAACGAGCTGTGCAGGTAAACACTCACAGTGCATCATCACACACTCAGGCTTTTGTCTCTGAGGTCTGATGTCATCGAGACACAGGTCAAAGCTGTGAGGGGCGGTAATGTGGGAACATGCCAAATTATGTTTTATTCTGGAAAAGATTACAATTATTTATATCATAATTTAAGTCTCAGTTATTTAAAATGATTACTTCTACTGTCAAACTAAACTTGTAGAGGAAGCATACACCTGATATCAATTATTAGTGATATTTTCATCTACTGTAGATTAGAAAAGTGGCTTTGTTGATTAATTGTATTTTCAATTACAACTTTTATGTATCATAGAAATCATGATTTTAAATGTAGTTATTTGCACGACCCTAAATTAAACCATGATATCAAATATGAGATAGCAATGTGTGTATGTACAAGTATTTTCAAAAATCATCATCAAACACTCTTAGTGGTTTTAAAAATGGACTTCAGTCACAACAGAACCTGGGCTGCCAGAGTCTCCACCTGCAGGTAAAGGACATCCAGTCCAATCCAGCTTTATTTGTATAGCACATTTTACAAACAAAACAGTTTCCAAAGTGCTTCACACAGCAATGCAACATTTTACTTTAAAAAGTCAGGAGAATTATGTTTAATAAAGACACTAATAGAAAAATAAATACAATGATAATAATAAAATGAACAAAAATAATAAAATCAATACATAAAAGCAGTACTAAAAAATAAAGATAAAAACAATAAATAAATAAATAAAATTAAAGATACAGAGGACCACACAACTTAATATACAAGTTTGTCTCATTCTCAGTTTATGTTCAGGCCTCATGTGAAGCTCAGAACCTCCAGAATTCCCTCCCTGAGCTGCAGAGGCTGCACTAGCACTGACTCAGGATTGGTGTAGGCGCTGGGGTGTAGGGAGTGAACATTCAGGTCAGAGAGAAGCATTTCAGGTTTAAACCAACTGGATTTAGATATAGGATATTACACAGCATTACTTTATCATATTTTATACATTATTTACTTTACCCACTAGGGGTGTGCAAAAATATCAAAATATCAATACATTGTAACATTTAAGGTGATAATACAGTATCGATATTGTGGACTGTTATATTGATATATCACCAAGAGTATTTTTTGGTTTATTTTACTAAATTATTTTGTTACAGCCACAGTTTTGTTGCTTGTTTAGAGGAAGGAAACTCATTTATGTGACACATTTGACATTTTCACTGTTTTGATGATTAAAATGTTTGTATTTCACATGAACTTTGCACAATAAGTGGTTTAACAAAGACTCCAACAAAGAATCACAGGCATAATTTTGCAATTTTTTTGTATTGAACTGTATCAATCAATTTAAAATATATATCGTATCGAATTGAGAGCTCACTGTATCAAGATATGTAACTTCTTAATGATACCCAACCCTATTACTCACCTCATTGCTGACACGTGTAAGTTATAATTAAAATTAAAAACAAATGGTAAATAAATGAGTAATAGTAATCCCCAACACTGGTCTCTCAAAATAATGTCTTTAATGATCCATAAAGGCTAAAGTAACGAGTCATTACACTCCTCTTGACCTCACTAGAGGAGAACCTGTCCTGGTATATTCTGAGGCACTGTTGCCAAAATAAACACTTGTGCCCAGGAGCAAGACACTGACTGTTTTGTGGAATGTACATTTGAAGAATGGCTGAAAATGAAAGCATTTTAGCATGGCTGATTGATTACAGATTACGCAACACTTTCCACAGAATTATGACTTGCAATGTAAAGGGAATATATAATGCAAAACAGCTTCTGAGTTTTTAACCCTGT